AGGAGTTCGGCACGTGGCGCCAGAAGTTCGACGACTTCAGGCTCCTCACTCACCTGGAGACGTTGCCTATCGCGGAGCAGAAGGCGGCCCTGATGTCACTGCTCGACGACGAGTGGACGCGAACGCTGCGATATAGCCTCCAGATCCCTTCGGAAGCCGACCTGAAGACCGTGATCGACACGATGGAGGCTCATCTGCGTGGTCAACGCAGCATCATCCTCGACAGACGAGACTTCTACTCGCGAGTGCAAGAACCGGATGAGACGTTCGACGATTTTGTATCGTCTATTAAGGAAATCGCCGCGTATTGTGACTTTTGCGATAAGTGTGCGGACGATCAGTACCGTGACAGGATCGTGGTCGGCATCCGTGACGAGGAGGCGCTGAAGCGTATGCTGCATGAGCCGAAGCTGACGCTGCAGAGGGCGGTGGACATTTGTCGTGCGTGTGAGTCGGCGAACGCGAACAGTGCCGCAATTCTCGGCGAGCCGGCTAACGTGACAGCATTGTCGGCGTACCGTCGGTCGCGTGCCCATCCATGCTCCAACAGTGCGCGTCGAGACGACCCCTGCCGACGCTGCGGTCGGGCTCGACACGCTGACGGCGTGCGCTGCCCCGCGATGGATGCAGCATGCCATGCATGCGGAGGCTCCGGTCACTTCGCAACGGTGTGCGCCAACCAGCCGCCCGACCGCGGTCCCCGGGGCGGCGGCCGTGGCTGGCAGGATGCCAGATCACGTGACCGCGCGGCCGGCGACCAGCCGCCCGGCCGTGGCCGGTCAAGGTTACGCCGCGGGCGGGGCACGGGTCCTGGCGCGGCGCCGGCAAACGCGGACGCGGCCGGTGACCGACCCGAAGTACGACAAATTGTCGGAGATATCTACGTGGACCAACTGATTGCACGCCGCACGCCGCGGATCAGAGTGACACTCGTCCATTCGACGGGATCGTCGGCCGTGTTATGCATGCCTGATACCGGGGCGGAAGCTACGGTCATGGGCGCTGACATGGCTGCGTCCCTGGGTGTCGCAACGAAGATGACCGGGTCGGTAGGCGGCGAGATCAAGTTTTCGTCAGCCGGGAGCACGCCGCTGACCTGCATCGGCCAGTTCAGCGCCGCGGTGACCTTTGGCGACTGCCAGACCGCCACAACGGTGTATGTGTTGCGAGAGGTCACCGGATTCCTGCTCGGCTGGTGTGACTCCGTGCGTCTGCGGATCCTGCCCGCCAATTTTCCGGCCCAGATCCCTGTCAACATCTGGCGCAGTCAGTCCGTTCCAGACCAAAGCCGCGGCAGCCACGTCCGCTCACAGTCGATCGGCGCGCGGCCTCTGCGGCGTCCCGACCGTCCGCCGGCGCCGCCTGTCGACGAACACCTGGCGCCGCCTACTGGTCACCCGCTGCAACACGTGGCCGCGGCCCGGGCGGCGGGCGGCACGGGAACTTCGGCGGGTGGCACGGAAGCCCCGGCAGGCGACACGGGTGCCGCGGCGGGCGGCACGGGAGCCGCAGCGGGCGGCACTGGAACCACAGCGGGCGGCGCGGGAGCCGCAGGATCCAGCACGAAGCCGTCGTCTCAACAAACAGCGGCCAGTGCCCAGCCTGTGTGGGAGCACGAATACGACCCGTCAGACGATGTCATCAGAGGTCATGAGGCGGCCCTGAGACAACAATTCAAAGACGTGTTCGACGGCAATGAGACGCTCTGCGAGATGGCTGGTGGCCCGATGGTCATCGACCTGACAGACGACGCAGTCCCCACAGCTCTCACCGCTGCCAGAAACATCCCATACTGCTGGAGAGAGGAAATAAAGAGCCAGCTCGACGACTTGGTCGCCAGAGGGATCGTGGCCCCGGTGAACTACCCTACGGAGTGGTGTCACCCCATGGTGCCAATTGCGAAACGCCAGGGAGGAGCCAGACTGGTCGTGGATATGACCGCCATCAACAGGTTCGTGAAGAGACCTGCCTACCCCGTGAGACCGATCCACGACGCAGTGGCGTCTATCGACGGGGACGCGCGGTGGCTGACCACGCTGGATGCCGCCATGGGATACTTTCAGGTCCCGATCGCCGAGGAATCTCAAGACCTCACCTGTTTCATAACTCCATGGGGCCGGATGAAGTTCCTCAGGGCCCCGATGGGTCTCATCTCGTCAGGTGACGAATACAACAGGCGGGGCGACGCAGCACTCGGAGATATACCGCGAACGCTGAAAATCGTGGACGATCTGCTGCTGCACGACGCGACCTACAGCGCCCATCTCTCTCACGTGGTCGCGGTCCTCAGACGCTGCCGAGAGACAGGCATCACTATCAACCCGCGCAAATTCCAGTTTGCGCGGCCGTCGCTGGACTACTGCGGCTACCGCATCTCGGAACAGGGCTACACGGTTGACGACCGCAAGCTGCAAGCGATCTCTGAGTTCCCGCGGCCGGAGAACCTCACCGATCTCAGATCGTTCCTGGGACTCACCAATCAGTTGGCCGACTTCTCAGCAGACATCGCCAGTGCAGCTCAGCCCCTCAGAGACCTGCTCAAGCAGCACACCGTCTGGAGATGGACTGAGCAACATGAAGAGGCATTCAAGGACGTCAAGAGAGCGCTGGTGTCACCACCCGTTCTGGCCTTCTTCGACCCGCAGCTGCCTACCAAGCTTCAAACGGACTCTGCACGAACCCGCGGTCTGGGTTTCGTTCTCCAGCAGCGCCACGGAGACACATGGAAGATGGTGCAGTGCGGCTCCCGCTTCCTTACAGATACAGAGTCAAGATACGCGGTGGTGGAGCTGGAGTGCCTGGCCTGCCTGTGGGCCCTCCGCAAGTGCCACATCTTTCTGGCAGGACTTCCACAGTTCGACCTCATCGTGGATCACCGCCCTCTCGTCCCGATCCTCAATTCCAAGAGGTTATCAGAGATCGACAACCCTCGCCTCCAGCGGATGCGGGAGAAAATGTCGATCTACAGCTTCACTGCTGTATGGCAAAAGGGGGCCTCACACTGCATCCCGGACGCCCTGTCACGCGCTCCAGTCTCCGATCCAGCAACGGGAGACGAGGTTGCGGAGGTGACGGAGGCACTGCACGACGCCGTGGTCGCTACTCTGAGCGCGACCTCCGAGGACGGTGTCCTAGTCGCTCCGCTCCAAGACCGGACTCTGGACTCGGTTCGGGCGGCAGCCGCCCGCGATCCCGAGTACCGAGCCCTCCGTGACGTCATCCTGGCAGGATTTCCCGACCACCGACACGACGTGGCACCAGATCTGCGGCCCTACTGGGGTGTCCGCTCAATGCTGGCGGTCGACGACGGGCTCATCGTCTACGGAGCGAGGCTCGTGATTCCGGCCAGTCTACGCCGCAACGTTCTCGACCGGCTACATGATTCTCACCAAGGAATAGAGAAAACCAAACGCCGCGCACGGCTGTCCGTGTATTGGCCGGGGATTGACCGGGACATATGCAACACCGTCTCTGCATGCCAGAGCTGCAGGCAGCTCGCTGCCAGTCACAGCAATGAGCCCTTATGGATGGAAGACGATCTTCCCAGCCGCGTTTTCGAGTCGGTATCGGCAGATTATTTTTATGTCGCCGGCCGGACCTACCTCGTGTACGTGGACAGACTGTCAGGCTGGCCGTATGTAACGGTCTGCCCCAGGACGGCCTCGGCGGACCACCTGGTGAAGCAGCTGCGGCGGCTGTTCTCTCAGACGGGTGTTCCCACCGTACTGCGGACAGACGGCGGACCGCAGTTCGCCTCCTCCACGCTCCGGCGATTTCTGGACCGGTGGGGAGTCCGCCACGAGATGTCATCCCCACGGTACCCGAGATCCAACGGTCACGCCGAGGCTGCCGTGAAAACGGTGAAGAAAATAATCGTGGCTGCCTCGGCGAGCGGACAGCTGGACGACGATCAGCTCGACCGAGGTCTCCTCGAGCTGCGAAACACGCCACGGGCCGACGGCAGGTCACCAGCCCAGACGCTGTTTGGTCATCCGCTGCGGTCAGGTGTGCCGACCCATCACCGAGCATTGTCAAGCAGTTTTGAGGAGGTGAACTGGTACATTAGACTCGACATTGATCGAATGCTGCTGGGGTATATCGGTGTAGGCGTGCCTTGAACGTTTTCGTTTGATGTAGTTCGTAAAAAGTGTCCGGTGAATAAGCTCCATCTTGTTAGACCTTGGAGTGGCCGGCCAGAGCATTGGATTGGACCTAATGCTACATTATTATTTTCATAAATGTATTTATGATAAAATTTAAGTCAAGTTGCATCAAAGTAAATATGGCCAATTAAGCATTCCCAAATGGCCCGTTTGGTCTGAAACGGCGGTACAGCTAACGTGTTTCTGATGCTGATGGGTTAGTAACAGTGAACCCTAATATCAAATGCAGAGGCGTTTCACAACCGGTATTTTTTCTCTCTAACATCGATCTACCTTGTGCATGTTTTAAAACCGTTCAGTCTGTCTTCTGTCCGCCCCTCTCGACAGTCTCATCTCCTCTCGAGCTCTCCGATCTGTCTCACGAAGCAGCCATCTGACCTCTGATCTCCCATCCATTCGGCTCCCCCGTCTCTTCGTTAGTCTAACCTCCACACTCCGCCCGTCCCGTCTCTCAGCTAGTCTAGCCTCCGCCCATACCGTACCCCGCAGGAGTCTGACTATCCACCCGTCCCCCGTCTCTCCTCCAGTTGTCTGTCTCTGTCTCTGTCTCTCGGTTAGTCTGACCATCGCCCGTACCGTACCCCGCAGAAGTCCACCATTTCTCTCCGACAGTCTATCTGAGCTCGACCCGTCCCGTCTCTCCGTGAGTCTAACCTCCACCCCTCCCGTCTCTCCGACAGTCTATCTGATCTCGACCTATCCTGACTCTCCGTGAGTTTAACTTCCTCACCTCCTGTCTCTTCCACAGTCTGTCTGACCTCCGACCGACCGTCTCTCCGGCAGTCTGTCTCTGTCTGTCTGTTAGTCTGACCTCCTCACCTCCTGTCTCTTCCACAGTCTGTCTGATCTGGACGCGGACGATGAGGACAACAACCAGGACTGCGACTCTCTGGGCCCTCCGGACACTCCGGCTGCCGGAGCCGTGCCGCCACCGTCACCGCCACTGGAGCCGGCCGCCGCCCGACTGCTGCAGGTCAGTTCCCGGAGGGTCAGGTCACAGAGGTCACCGCCCGACTGCTGCAGGTCAGTTCCAGGGGTCAGGTCACAGAGGTCACCGCCCAACTGCTGCAGGTCAGTTCCCGGAGGGTCAGGTCACAGAGGTCAACGCTCGTGGTCTCAGAGGTCACCACTCGGGTCAGAGACCGCCGCTGGACTGCTGCAAGTCAGTGACCGGGGTCAGGTCACACGTTAACGCTCGGATCACTGGGGTCTCCACTTGGGACACAAGGTCAATGTTGGGGTCAAAAGTCATTACTCGGGGTCACAGCGTAATACCAGGTCAGGTTACAGAGGTCACCGTCGGGGTCGCAGGTCACAAATTTCTCACTTCTCTGTCTTGGTCTCAGGACGTCATCATGTCAGAACATCTGCAAAATAGAAAAAGCGAAATGCATGGTCCCTGGATAGCATTTAACTATTATACGTTTCCTGTTTATTTAGGTCACTTCCGGTATAAATGTCATAACATGACATTCTTATCCGGCCGTGTATGTTGTTAGCCGCTGTCTTAATTGGCTCTGTAGGCCTGCCGTCCTGCTTTTTATGTAACGCTAGGGCCGTATCTTATGATGCCGTGTGCATTGTCATTCACCACGTGCTTGCTCTGCTACTTCTGATGCTCTCTTGCCCGTGACCGTATCCGTCTGGATGGCGGCGGTCAAAGGCCACGTCAATGCACTCCTCGATGTTCTCGAAACAATCGCTAATTGGATCTGTGCTCCCGGCGGTGCACCTATATTGACTTACTGAGACGGATGGCGGCGCTGTTTTTCCACTGGGAGAAGGCGGCGAGGTCGGTTGGATGTCTCGATATCCTGTGGTATACGGGTGGGCCCAGTAAGAGGCATACTCCGTATGGTGGTGTCAGTGAGAGTGGTGCACCCTGTCGTATTGGGTCGGTCAATGGGAAGTCATAGGTTAGGCTGTCGTCATCCGTATTGTAGCGGCTTTAATGAGAGTGATATAACCGGCCGTATTGTTAGGCCACATCGAGAAAAAAAGTTTGGCTTAGGCTGTTATCCTCCGTGTGATACGGTCATCATTCATCAATAAGAGCGGTGTATCTTTGACGAAGCGACCTCAGTGAGAGCGTCGCGTCCTCTTTGGATGACCCCAGTGATAGTTTTCTACCCTATTTACTATTCAGCCGACCCTAGTGAGAACTCGTACCCTGAACGGACAGCTCCAGTGATATTCTCACACCCAGCCGTGTATGGCAGTGACCCTGCGATGGTGGCTGGCGCCGGTCGTTGGCGCGTGCCGATGGTACGTGACCGGAACTGTCTGACGGATGCGACACGGAACACACGGGACCAGCTGATGGCAAAGCACATGCCTTTTTCGATGTGTTTCTTTTTCATTTAATGCAATTCCGTTACTAACCGGACATAGTAACGGGTGTGATATAAGGTATACCTAACAGGCATAATACCACACCTAGTACCCTCCGCACAACCAGCACTGGGCTCCCTCGCTCGTCCAGCTCACCTAAAGGCACACCTCACCTCACCTCACCTCAGGCATACCTCACACCGGTCCCAGGTGTCACATCACAGCCAGCCTGGTAGCGCGCGGCCTCCGACACCTGTCGGCGTGTGCATTTCATATTGGTCCCGTGCCACGCGCCTCCTCATCGTTTGTCTTCGGTCGGCACCTCTGTGTCTCAAACGGGCGTGCGGCGCGGCGCTCGACGTGGCTCGACCGAGCACCGCTCCCCGCCGAGACCGGCGCGATAATTGTTTGGTGCGATGGCGGACACGAAGGCGTGAACAGAGGTGGGGAGGTGTGGAGAGATGTGGAGTGGACGCCGAGTGGGGCGCTCGCGAACCGAGTGCGTTTGTGGAGCGCCACCGGTGCTGCCCCGGACGTGACTGAACTGAGCGCTGGACACGCGCCGACAGGAAGGAGAGGGCTGCTCTGAGAGTGTTTCTGTGAATGGGGTGAATACCAGACGTCATAGTTCGCATTCTGACACCAAACACGCTCGGACGGTGTCAGTGAAAGACAGCTGGCCAAGCGATGTAAAATAAACTGGATCTCTGTTTAATTTGAGCCTTACTCGGGGAAGGATGTTAGAACGTCCTAGAAGTCAGAACTACGCAACGTGTGGTAATGTACCCCCGATGCCGTATTAAACACAGCAATGAATGCATTGGCTGCAGTGCATAATCATGCATATTGCATGCATTACTGGTCAATGATCATCCTTCTATCGCCGTGTTTGGACATCGGTACATTTAGCTCCCATTCACAGTGTGACCGGCATGTCTCCGGCAGCCGCGGGTCAGCGCGGTGGCCGTGGGGCGGCCAATATTGCCGGTGGCCGCCGCTGTGTGGACACGGCACCGGCGACGATAGCGGCCCGACGGTTATGGACAGGCTCGGCGCTTTATTGGGCAGTGCCAGGTGTGACGGTGGGCGACTGCGGTGCCGGTTAGGGGTAGGTGGGACCTCTGGGAGGGCGCGGAGTTTTACGGGTTTGGTTAAATCACTGTTCGAGCTGGGAGGGTCCAATGAAAGGACGACATTGAGATACAGCTCACTGGCTGGGGCTGGGATAGTTCTAGGAGGGCATACCGAGGTACGGCTTTCCATTCCAAGAATACGAGGTCACAGAGCAGCGCGTACCTGGCCGAGAGACAGCTATCCGCTAGTGAAGCTCGGGACACCTGGCAGCGCAGACCGAGTCGCCGGATCTCTTACTTTGTATGGCAAATAAAGTCAGTTCCATCTCTCAATGGATCTCCCGTCAGTCAATCCCAATAGATCTCCCATTGGCTCAATGGATCTCCCGCTGCACCTCCTACCTTTTATGGTTATCAACGGCTTGCCCGCCGGATCTCCCCGTTCTGTGTGGGCCTTTTGATTCCCACTCAGTAAGGCCCGTCAGATCTGTCGGCTGCGCTCTGTCGTTATGTGGACGTGTGCTGTTTGCCAAACGACCCACGCTCCACGGCCTTTTAAAGCAACAACCGTTGAAGGCTGTATCTAGGCTGTCTCTTCTTGCCTGTAGTGCTGGGCTGACCGACAAATCAAATGTGCAGTCGACGGTGCTGAAGAAAGCCTACTTGCCTTCGATTGTGTATCTTCGCTTTTGTTGGAAATGAATGTCAGATTCTGCGCATACGCCATACGAATACGTTACTTCTGGTCCGAAATTTTGAAAGTTTTCATTCATTTAATTGCCCTTGAATTTCCTATCATGGAAACGCAGTGGACGCACTCGATGCCCCACGCATATTTTGCGCCTGTGCTTTTGTCTCAGTTACATCCATCTTTGTTGTGTTGTTCGAGTCCAGTTCCGGTCCTTCTCTGTCAGCGTAGGTTTTGTGTTGGTGTCGGTGTCTATACTGAAAAGCTGACACTGTCGGTCCTGATCAGTGTCAGCATCCGCCTCTCCTAAGTCAGTGTCAGTGTCTCTGTTGTGTCTGTGCCATCACTGTTTCTTTTTCTTTCTTTTATGTATGACCTGTATCTTTTTCCTCCCTATCCGCAGCTGGAGGAGGAGAATAACCGTCTGCGTCAGTTGCTGGCCGAGCGGGACCGCCGGATCGCCGGCCTGGAGGAGACCGCCGAGAGGGGGGCCCTCGAGCACCACCAGCTGCGCCTGCGTAACGACGCGCTCACCAAGGCCCTGTCGGCGCTCACCGCCAAATAGGGACTCACTCGCCGCGCTCTCACCGAGGGGAGGCCCCTTCTCACCGAAGGAGCGGGAACGTCTCACCGGGCAGGCAGCGGGGTCTCACTGGAGCAGGAGGGCTCTCACCCGGCACCGGGCGTTTCACGGGGTGCGTCTCACCAGCCAGCAGGCATTCTCACCTGAGCTGCCTGGCTTCTCACGGGGGAGGGGGGATGGGAGTCGTTCTACAGTGATGTGGCATTTCCACACTGTTGCGACAGATGCTAGGAAAGGGTATAGACGGGCTAGGTGAGTCTGCGGGGGGTCGGATGGGCAGAACATAGGTATGGGGTGGTGGGTATATATTGCTGTGTGTGAATAATGTCGAGATTATGAAATAGGGATATGGTTGGGTGGTACTTAAAGATGTGCCCAATGATGACGCTAATATGAAGTCAACAGATGTAAAATGTCTGATGATGTAAGTATTAATTAGTATTGAAGACAACCGAGCTCGGTAGTGCAGCTTATTTATGATAGTCCTTATTTTCGTTTTGTTTTTCGTTTCCACTGGAAGATGTACCGTAGGCTGACCATTTCACGTATTCCATAATGCGTGGCCTGCTAGCATTGATATCGAGTAGGACTGGCGGTATTCACGTTTTCCTTTAGAGCTGTCGAGGCTGGTCCGCTAGTAATGCTGCCCGGGGTTGACTAGCGACTCGTTTGGGTGTTCTTACATTACCAAGCCTGATGGCCGTCTGCCCGGCTGGGGTTGTGGTGTAGGATGACGCCGTGCGTGGGCCGCGGGCATCAGCGGCCGAGTACAGCGAGTGGTAGTGGAGCGTGTCCTGGCAGCAGGCTGCCGGGGCTCCGTGCCGCCGGACGGCCGGTGGGCCGCCGGGGCTCCGTGCCGCCGGACGGACGGTGGGCTGACCGGCCGTAACGACCCGGGGAGGCGGGACCCCTCGCGGCGTACCCCCCCCCCCCCCCCCCAGCGCGCGCCCAGAGGTGGCGGTGTTACACAGAAGCTATATGGCAATCGCCAGCGCTTCTGGTCGTCTAAAAGCTTTATGCAGTCTCGTCATTTTTTAGACCTTTTTGGATTTAGGCAACGCGAGTCGTTATTTAAGCTCTTTAGATCTAGTTAGGATGCTTTAGTATTCTGATGTAGTTAGCTTGCTTAATGAGGGAGACGCTTCTTTTTGTTGTCGGTTTATATGCGACACCTTTCCGAAATAACATTCACATGCATGGATGTTAATAATGTGAGGCATAATCTGGTATTATTTTCTTGGGATAGGTATGCATACTTTGGTCTTTCATTATCATCTGACATTGTCATGTTTGACTATGTATAACTCATGTTCAGTCGCTTAATTCCTACTGCGCCCTAAATGGGTCCATAATAGACTGTACTTACATGTCAGCTAAAAGCTTTTAACTCGGTGAGGATCCATCGATTGTTAAACTGGCATCATTTATTAGCCGCGGGCATTTGAAATATGAGTACAGTTTAAAGCTGTCAGGTTCCTGTCAACGTGAGCGGTGATGTGCGGAAAATGTAAGACCCTGTATCATTGTTTCAGATGTTATGCTCTCAATAAAAAGCGCATTCTCAGCTTGACTTTTGGTCGCTTCATCGTGTTCACTGTAAGCCGCGCGACTGCAGGTTTTTTACGGCTACCGAAGGACATACCGATTTGCCGACGATGCCTCGACCTTTTTGCTTGTGTTGTTGGATTAGGCCAGAAGGGCGAGGGGGGATCCTGCTGATAAGCATGGACGACACTCCAGAGCCTGTGCCTGCGATGTGTGTTTAGGACATTCGAATGACTCGCTTAGGGCTATTAGGTATATTAGGTTCTGTAGTGATGGATTACCGTAGCTGGAACTTCCCAATAATCTTGTGTTTTCGGCATCAAGCATTAAACAGTATGTATTCGCGGCATATATGGAATACAGAGGTCTATTGCGCAAAGGCATCGCCCAGTATTGATTTGAAAAAGGTATGAGCAAAATGAACATTGTTAAACAGAGCACGTGCCATTAGTTGTCCGACAGTGTCATCAGGGGGGTGACACGGCTATTCGCGCAATGTATTCATTCATGGGCCGCGCGGGGCCTCGCGATGACGCGGCTGGAGGCAACTGCTCAGCGCGCTAGGATACTTCTGGCGGGGCCGGGCGCTGAACGGTGTGCAATGAATGGGTTATGGTCGGGCAGACAGAGATGAGGCATTGAATTTGAATTGAAATCAGCAATCGGGTGGGGAAGGAGAACGTTTCTAATCGAGTTTGGGATGGGGAAAGCCGAAAATATCACGATCGGCTCATAGCTCCGACAGGGCCGGGTGCTGTACCATGTGTAGTATATGTATTTAGGCGGGCAGACAGAGATGAGTTATTGGATTTAAATTCACCTTAACATCGGTTTCTGGTGAGGTTTGAAGACTTCTTTAGTCAAGCTCGGAGTGGGGCAACGGCCACTGGCGGATCCAGGGGAAGGCATTTGGGGCAAATGTCTTCCCCAACAACCAGGGCAGCGCCCGAAATCGATTTTCGAGAATAAATGAAAACTTCACAACTTTTCTGAGGAAATGTTGGTTAATCACACCGCACAGCAGTGCGCAAGGAATCGAAATCCGAGTTTTTTTTAATTAATTCCGAGAAACCTTTTTGGGGTAAGCCCCCGCAGTGTCCAATACCGCTTCCTGGATCCGCCAGTTGTGAATAAGTCACGGTCGATACCGAGCTTCGGCGGGACCAGGCGCTGTACACGTTGTTCTTTGAATGAAGAGGTGGAGAGACACCTAGCCCCACATCCTACTGCTATGCCCGTGCTTCTGTGGGTGAAGCACTAAAGCATCACGGAATCCCAGAGGACCTGCGGGTCGACGAGGTGGCCGCTTTGGCCGCCGGGTACTGCAGCTCCCTGGAGTTGCCTGGGACGGACCGATGGCAAAACAACAGCTCCGGCGGTGCCCCTATGGGCCGTAGTAATTAGTGAATTCCCGTAATGTAGAGATCCTATCCTCAATGATCTCCATTACCATTTTATATTCCTAAACAATATGACAGACCAATTATGCTTGCCTACGTTCAGGCATTACCTCTGATGGTCATACGCCCAGTACAACATGTGTTGTCTGTCAAACAACAATCGACGACGGGATCCCTTCTCATCATCTCTTAAGCCATCGGTTGTCAATTCACCCACCCCGTTTCCCTAAAAATAGACGGTCAGATTCGGCCTGGGTCCTTACGACCCCTCTAAATTCGCCAGAGACGGGATCGGATCGCCGTTATTGCACCCGTCTTAGTGTCTTAAATACTATGACAGCTTCGACCACGGACGTCGGACGGGGTGATCGTTCCACGGATGTACGCACCATCCAGGCCTAGGATGCATCGAGGTTTAAAAGGATGCAGTCTGTAGCTCAATCAACAAACAATGGTGGTATGCAACCACTTTAAAATATCTCCCTGGCTCCCGCAACGTTCCAACCGTTCCAACGCCCCTCCGTTATGCATTCGCCCTGTGTGTCCGCCGAGCCGGCTTGCCTCCAATGACGTCATCGGCCGGCCGGCGGCGTTCAAGGTCAAACGGCTGGTGTCCTTACCTGGAGTTCAATAGCCTTGAGTGTCATTTTGCACGCAGAACGCACGTTCAACATTTCAATTGATTATATGTCACGTCCAAGGCTATTGAGTCACGTCTGTGTGATAAAATGATACTAAACGGAAGCCGGAAATATTGTTAGTGGCCACGTGAGATTTGTACAGAGCTGCCGCTGGCTCTAATTGTGTTGGCTGGGACGGCCAGGGAATGGCACCGCTCTGCCGTCCCACCAGGGAATTCGACTGCCGTTGGATGGGCATGGACGCTCGTTACCAGAACGAGTGACAGATGGAACCGCATCGTTCCGCTCCACTTTTATGTGGCGCTCCTCGCTCGGGGCTCCCTGCGTCCCAAGAGGCCTCCCTGGCCCGACGGCTGCCCTTCATGATTTTCCAATGAGTTCGTGACCATACCGCTTCGAAACCTGTTCCTCGCCAGCGACGGGAATGTTTTATTTCATGAACGTCTGCACCGCAGTGCACGTCTAATCAGTGACGTCATATCCGTCTAGTCAGACAGGATAATACCGTAGAACGTCCGAGTGCCTCTCACTTACGACAGGGTGAGCATTTGACCCTGGACTGGACACACGTGTCTGGCTGTTGTGGACTGCGCTACTCGTGCTGCATATGGAATATTCAGGAAGTTGTGGCCGGGATGTCAGTGATAACGACCTCACACTGTTCGAGGAGGTCGGTGCGACACTAGAAGACGGCCTGAGTGGGGGTGACGCCGCCGGCCGGGCCGCTGTGACTCACACCCTGTGGCGTCATCCTGAGGCCGCGGCCTCGCCGCCCGGCCGGCCCAGGACCCCGCTATAAACTCAGTGCAGCCCGCGAGGTGCTCAGTGTACCGCTGGAAGTTCAACGCGGCCCGCGGTGGTCAGTGTTTGCGATGGCGAGTCTCCGTCTCCGAGGAGCGCTGGGCGGTCTTCTGCTGGTGCTGGTGATAGCTCAGTCGAGTGGTGCTCGTCGCACGGCCCTGCTGACCCAAGTGCAGGCTGTGTGTCGCCACGGGGGCCGGTCCCCGCGGGGCACCTACCCGGCTGACCCCTACCGGAACGTCACCTGGCAGGGCGGGTTCGGCAGTCTACTGCCGGCCGGGGTGGGTGATCAGGTGCGGCTGGGTGCCCTGCTGAGGAGCCGGTACGGCGCGGCGCTGCGACTCCAATCCTGTCAGCGTATCAGTGTCATCTCCTCCGACCGTGACCGGACACGTGAGTCGGCGCGGGCCCTGCTGCACGGTCTGTTCCAGGACACTGAATTAGGCGAACTAGAGTACCAGGGCGGTCCTCTGCCGCCGGCCGACCCCATCTGCCCCATCCGCGTCATCCCTGAGAGGGATGATTTCGTGCTTCGGCTCGTGTCCCCAGAGCGCTGCCCGCGGCTCATCCTCGCCATCGAGGCCATGCTGAAGCGCACTCCCGAGTACCGCGACCTGGTGCCCCTTCTGAAGCGCGTGGTGGCCGAGCACGCCGACATACCGTCCGCCAGCTCCATCGACCTGGTGAACGTCTTCGACATCTTCCGCACTCAGCAGCTCAGCGGTCTGGAGATCCCGGAGTGGGCACACCAGTCGCTCGGCTCCGGACTCCCCACCGTGTACGCCGCGCTGGAGCGGTTCTTTTTCCTGGCTTTCGGCAGCCAGGGCGCGCCCTCCACCCGTTCTCTATCGGCTGGAGGTCTCCTGCGGACCATGGTTGACACAGCTCGGGACAGCGACACGGCTCTGCGGCTGTACGCGGCCCACGACACCACACTGGCGGCCCTGGAGGCGGCGCTGGGCGTGTACTCGGGCCCCCTGCCGACCTCCAGCTGTCTTCTCCTGGAGGTGTTCGCTGCCGCCGACGGCGCCCGGTTCGTGCGGCTGCTGCGGCGCTCCGGCAGCTCCGGAGAGCTGCGGGAGCTGCCCCTCGGCTCGCGCCGCGGCCCGTGTCCGCTCACCAAGCTGGAGGAGCTCCGCTGGCTGCCCGATAGTGTGGATGACGTCAAACGAATGTGCCGCCTGTAAGGGACGGCGATCTCGACGCTATTCGTCTGTTTACCGTGTTATGTTTAGGATATGTTAAAAATGCTAGCCACATTATACTGAAACATATTTCTCAGATATATTTTAAAATATGCTTAGGTAGGGGAAAGTGGGGTAAGACGGGCACCTTAACTTTGGAGCCATTTTTCGGCCGGTTAGAAACATCATAGAAACGGGAAACTGAGTGAAAACCTTTTACAGACATTTTACTTCCATTTGCCAGAAGATGAGACTTAGACCTGACTCAACAAATAAACTGCAGCTATTTTTGCAAAACCTTGCAAAAACCCATCTTACCCCACTCCATGGGGTAAGACGGTCACATGGGTAGGGCAAGACGGCCAGCTTCTTTCACCGACCAGCACAGCTCGCAGCAAATGCCCGAGATTAGCCGCATTGATACAGTCGCTCGTTGGTCTCAAGTGCTTCGGAAATGGCAGTATACGAGATTCGTGCAGAAGGCGTATACTCGTATATAGGCCCTAGTTCAGAAGCCATGTAGAGCCGTTTTTCACATTCATTATTCGAGAATAAACTGTGCCGAAGGAATATTGCTAACATGTCTGTGAGTATCGGAATCGAACATATTCTTATCAGAAATGCTTCTTTTTTCCTACAGCAACAAAAATATTTTTACCATTACAGACCCATCGGATTCATAGTTGCCCGTCTTACCCCAAACTCAATGTCAGAAGTTCAGCACGATTTTTCTCTGTGGACAATTTGATGCAGACAAAGCAAATCCGCGGTGAATGAACACTGGAGGCATATGAGTGTGCCACAAGTGATTGCCAGTTTTTAACTCTATAGTGCTGCACACAAAAGCTTGCACAATACATTATGAATGTTTTCAATGAAATGAGTGTTTTAAAGAAATCAAAATAAAAGATTATTGACCGAACACAAATTCACCAGACTTCAATGGCGGTGTGTAGTGGGAAAGGCTATTCTGGTCCTAATTTTTCTCGCTCG